AACAACGATGAGCTAAAATTGTAGTACTGAAATTAGAATCAATATAGACACAAATTAACTTACCTACAGAAATGATACACTTCACTACGAATCAGCTCACCCAATTATCTTTCACATTTCATTCAGAAAACATCATCACCTAGCAAATTAAAAACAGACATATATATCTATTCTTTATTAAAAAGAAATTTATATAAATATAAAAGTTGTGAGATTGTTTCACCGACAGACTATCTTCAGATTATGGTTGAATCATACTGCACCGTACTTCTGAAAGACTTCGAAGCAGCAAAGCTGTTCAGCCATAATCACGTACATTCTGATCGCCACGCTATCATCCAGGGCTATAATCTTGCATAATTTATCCGCCACGACACTCTCTGTCGTTCTTTCTTTTCACACTCAAGTATAGCAATTACGTCGACACTCAAAATAGCCAGCAGCCCACAAAGGAGGATGCGCGAAACGGAAGGGACACGCTGGCAAAGGGTAACCGATGGATCAAAGTAAGTCACGGACTTGGACACCTGTGATAAAGGTGATAAGCAAAACTCTCGCGGAAACCGGCAATCGTGAACACTCGGTCATTAACGAGTCAGAATGACTTCGAAGAAGAACAGGGACGTATCAGTGAGCGTCACAGCTTTCTACTTGAAAATCATCGGCTTCTGGTTAGCTGACACTTACGAGGAGAAACGTCGAAGAAAGTTCGCGCAGAATTGCACGATACTTATGCTTATGTGCGCTGTGCTGCTTGAGGTGAGGGATATCTATCACATCTGGGGAGATTTCGGCGTAAGTACAGTTTCAATTATTGAACACCATTCGAGGATACGTGAGATGATTAGGGCAGAGCAGGGGAATTACGACACCCAAGGAGAAAGTTGAATAAAAGAAAATGTTATAAGGGTAATAACTTTGTTTATATACAAAGGCGTATTATCTGTTTATATAGTTTTATAATCAGCATTAACAAGATTTAAAGGTAAAACCAATTTTTAACCCCTTCACATATGACAACGCGTCAGTCTCGTTGCAGAGATTCTGACGAAGATGTGAGAAAAATAGTTGTATTGGTAAGAAGAATTCATTGTAATCCTAATTTTCGTTTGAATTTACAAGATTGAGGGATTGCTAAGTGTCATTAATCTGTGACAGACTAGTTTTTGTTACCTGATATAGTACTAAAGCAGAAAATGGCTGACGCTTAGGTGCATAGTCAGAAAGGAAATCATAGTTTAAGGGGTTAATAGAAAAGCCAAACCGTTACTGTCCGTGATGTCCTAAATGTCGTTCGATAATTTTTTACCTGTGTGCGTGTCAACTATTTTGCGTTCGCGGCCTAGAATTGCATTCGGTACGAGCGATCATGTGGCAAATGGAGGAAATGTTCATGTTTTCCTGGCACCATCGTATATGCGTATTCGCAATTCGTTCGTGTTTCCCTGACTCTTCCCGAATTGTGGAATTCAACGTTACGGACGTGGCGAAAATTTAGAAATTTGAAAAATACGAGACGGGTTTAACGTTCGAAGCATTCTTGTCGATGTAATGATTTTTATGCAAATTTACAGTCTTGAGGATATAGGAAAAAATGGAGAATTTCGATAGAAAATTATTTCACCTAACAGGTATTATAAGAAGCACTACAATTTCGATATTTTTTCATATACCTGCATTCTGTGTAATTTTGTACCTTTAAATTTCCTGCAAATGCATAAAAATCCGCAGTCTATTTAATTGTCGCCGATGCTAGATAAAATGATCGATGCTTGCTTCGGTTTTGGAATAGCGATGAAAAATTTTTAGTAGTTTTATAATAAAGTAAAATAATTGTGAAAAAATTTCCGTAGCTATTCGAAGTGAAAAAATTTGTGGTGCAATTTGAAATGTCAACGAAATTAATAGGACTTTGAAGTAAAGTGTGCTTATTAAAAAATTGCTTGCATTTGGGCACAGCGGGTGTAATTTCTTCGTTTATTTTTTCGTAAATATTGTTAAACATTTGGTTCCGAAAGCACGTGTGCAAGATTTCAGTTTTGAACAATTCGAAGATGTTCAAAAAATAAGTACCCCTGAATATTTTGTGAAATGAATAAAAAAAAGAAGTGACCAGTTGATAAACTTTGAGCGATTAATATTGTCGTCGAGATAGGGCTTTCCTTTTTATGATTGTTTAATTGCAGGCCGTTGTTTACGTAATGTGCAACATTCTAACAGTGGGCATAAGTTTGTTCAAGATCTTGGTCTCGATGAGGAGTAAGGAAAAATTTTTGGAATTAATTAAATACGCCAGAACGAATTTCTGGCACTCGGATTATGACTCGCAGGAGCAAATGATTGTGAACGAGTGTAAACGTTCTTGTACATTCCTCATATGCGTGTTTAATTTCTTCGCTAATGGGACAGTGTCTGGATACATAATCAGGCCAATTGTAGGTGAGTCATTTCTACGATTTCTACGATAATTATTCCACTTTTCACATAACTTACGTTTGTTCTCTAAAAATATAAATAGCAAATCTTTTTTTTATCACATTTCTGCTTTGGTGTCTTATTAATCTGCTTGAGTCAGAAGGAATACTGTTAATAGTTTTGAATTACTATTACTCGGAATTTTGGTTAATTAAATTAATTGAACTATTCGTTGTAATTAAATCTAAACTAGAAACGAGAAAGGATAATAAGCTGGTACTTCTTTTCAGAAAGTATTGGAAAAAATGAATCAGACAGGATACTTATAGTCAACTTCTGGATTGACTTTCCGACAACCATGACACCATACTATGAGATATTATTTACGTCGCAGGTAATATGAATTTCTTCTTTGCCGTGTTCAATTCACGATAATTGCAAACGTTGATATTTTATTTCATAAAGACTGTATGGCAACTTAAACTTTCGATGTTTAGTTTGAATTGAAATTTTTCCGCCACTTTTTCACCCAATCCAAAATTCACAATTACTTGACACTTGCCTGTATAACAACAATTTTCAAACGAAGGAATTTGAAAGTTTTCCAACCCAATTATCAAAAAGTTACAGTGAAATCGTTTACACCAGTTTATGTCTGTTATCGCTACAGGTTTTTATCGTAATGTACGTTTGCATAAGCTACCTTTGTATCGACAATTTTCTGTGCATGATCAATCTACACACAGCTACTCAATTTCGAATATTGCAATACAGACTGTCGAATGTGTGCGGTGCAAACGAACGTAGCGATAAAATTTCGAAAAAAACACCGTCCAATTCGGACGAATGCTACGCTAAGTTCAAAAATTGCATTCAACAGCATCAAGCACTCATAGAATACTGTAACGAACTTCAAGAGGTGTTCGGTTTATTTGTGCTTGCACAAGTGTTGCTCTTCAGTTTGTTAATGTGCCTCGATGGATATTTGGTGATGGTTAGTAGGTATTACAAAATTCAACGCGATATCATATTTTTCTTATTTTCTGATCAAAATACTTCAACTGCACTTTTTATCAGATATTTTGTATATAGAATAAAAAGTGTTTACTCTTTTCTCAAAATTGGTAACGTTTAGCTCCATTTTCTTTTTTTCAACTCTAACAGCAAATATTCAATTATTAACATTAATTTATAACAATCGTTAACTTTTTCGAGAAAAAAATTGGAAATGTTTTGTACGAAAGGACGTAGAATTTTTATTTTTATATTTCGTAGTGTTTTTGATTTCGTAAATATTTAGTTTCGTAAATAAATTTTTAACGAATAAATAGTTAATTTCGTAAATAAATTTGCAATAAATTAATATTCGTTCGATTTTTATGTCTCGTAATGTTTGTTTACTACTATTTCACCGCTGTTGAGTAATTACATCTATGATATAATTACCACAGGAAGATACTCCCATTATGCAGCGCCTTACTTTCTTGTTTCACCTAACGGGATGCCTGTGCCAACTGTTGATGTTCACCTACAGCTGCGATTGCCTGATACGAGAAAGCTTGAACGTGGCCAATGCTATATACGACTGCTCGTGGATTCACTTGCCAATGGACAGATCTGGGCGAATGCTGCGAAAAGATTTGACATTCGTCATTGGAAGATCTAGAGTACCTTGCTGTCTCACTGCTTGTGGATTCTTCCCTGTGTCACTGGAAACGTACACTTCGGTAATTCATTCAACATTTCACACGATATCGATGTTAGAGTATTTCAAGTACTTTTTTTTATATTTAATTAATGTGTTTGGGAAACAGTAAAAAAAGTGTTTGTTAAGAACTGATCGAATCTGATATAATAGTACTAATCTTAAGATCTTTAGTGACTATTAATTGCACTTTTGGACTCTCTATTGCTAAAATTTAAATTTTTTCCTCCTTCAAAGACAAAACTCAAATTTGAAAAATATTCTGGAAATAGTTTTGTAAAAAGTGATTAGAAAATTTTACTAATGATTGCATTATAGATTAAACATGGTATCTCGAGTATTATTCTGCAGTTTTAAAATAATATCTAATAAAGTCCTTTGTTTCTATTTTTATTGTAGATTTTGAGTAATGCACTCACATGCTACACCATACTAAAGCCGTACAGAACACGAACTTTTGTAAATGAATAATTTATTTTGTGGAAGATTATGTCACATCTCAGACATATTAGAAATTAATCTATCGAAAGAGTTCTTTAAAAGAAAATTCGATAAATGGAATGTCTTCCAAGATAATGGAGATCGTTTTGAACATTAAAATTGTGTTTGATACTTTGCAAATGAAAATTCACGTTTATGAAAAAAGGTACTGAATTAATTTAAACACCTAATACATTTGCTTGAAAAAAACAACAATTAACGATAGTTACTATTATATCAGATTTCACTTCAAAACCTACCTCCTAATCCATGAATAAACCTAATTATTGATTCATTACAGATTTTAAGTACCGCAGCGTCATACTTCACACTGCTACGAAAACAAGAAGCAGAAATAGTTGAAACATAGCTAACACCAAATGCCAACGACCATACGAACCCAAAATGACAAATCGAAAAATTTGATTTTCAATCAAAACTAAAACTTCCTCTGTTAGCAAAAAAAAAAACAAGTACAAACTATTTCTTTATCAACAAAGTCCAAGCACATGGTCAGTAATAGTTCCTTTTCTAATCGTTAAACCCTAAACAAAACTGAGCAAAATTTTTTCAAACACGTTTCACAAAACAGAAAAAAAGAAATTATCGTACAATACCTAATCACATCACTGTTCTCGACTCAACAATGAATCTTCACTCCGTTTGCTCACAAGTATTGGATGACTACAAAAGTTCGTGCCCGATTTGAAAATAAAACACAACCGGTACGTGCAAAAGCAGATTTCATTTGAAACTGAAATGAAACGAAACGAACAATTATTTGAAAATAAAACACAAGCGGTGTATCTTCCGATAGGAATGCAACATTACGCTAAAAGAAACATCGGTGCCGAAGTTGACAAGGTTCTCATCACCTCTGAAAATCGGGCACGAACTTTTCCAATCGTCCAATGTCACGACTCTCCTGCCACAATCAAACAAGCTAAATTTCCCTTTGACAAAACGACACAGCTGTCGATACACGTTCGATTTCGCAGGAGGGGGTTTCGTATCCCTGCATCATGCATAACTCATCATCAATTCGATCTATGCAGTACTCGTTCGATGAAGGGAGCCAGCAATCCTGCATATATCCGTGTGATCGAACACTTTGCATTTTTCTCTTTTCCGAGTCGCCTCTGTCGGTATCTTTATCATTGCCGGCCGATTTTCTGGACAAAGGAGGCGCCGATAGATCAAAGCGTCTGATCGTTCCTCGATACGTTCGTTGCAATCGATCCAACGAGTTCTCGTTGTCTGCGAGGTTCAATGTCCGAACGTTTCTGTCGGTTATCAGCGAGACAACATGAAATTGTTCAAGACTGACGACTTAGGTTTCAGCGTGACTTCGATGTTCGTGAAAATGATCGGATTGTGGATGGCGAAAAATCAGTTCGAGCAACATGTCAGAAACGTGACGTTGTTCTACACATTCTTCTTCGTTTCCTTCGGATTCTACGTGGAAGCTACGAACCTGTACCACTCGTGGGGCGATCTCAGCGTGAGTAATCACATTCAGGGTGGTGTTGAAGAGAAATTGAGAGTGTTTTAACCCTTTTGCTGCCCATCTACACGGTATATGCAAAGAGTGCCAGGGCCGATTTGATATGCACGCTTCTATAAATTGCTTAGATTTTTGAAAATGTGAATTTTCTGGAGGAACGCTTTAGTATTCGTTCTTTTCATACTTAGAGGAAATGGAATACAATTGTGGTTTAATGAAATATTTAGATTGTATAAATTATTCTTACAATGGTAGACTTTAGATTGTAAAATCGTGGTGAAAGCATTGTTAACCATATTTTTAAAAATTATTTACGAACTAGTAAACTGATCAACGCGATCGTATTTACAATTTTCAAAATTTACAAAATTTCGAAAGAATTGCACATCAAAAACGAATTACAAAATTTACAAAGAAGAAACAGCAATTCTTGAGATAATAACAATTGATATTCTCATTTCACAGGACACACTGTTCGACATATGCACTCTTCTGTCGGTGATAATGCCCGCTATCAAAATAATCATCCTGTTTATCAACAAGGAGGAGTTTTTCCGTTTGATCGTGTACACAGAGCGACAATTCATGAACGGGGATTACAACGAGGACGAGAGGAAGATTGTGTTCGATTGTAAACGCCTGTGTACATTCTTCACTTGTTTCCTCTCATCTGTGACTTTATCGTGCGTTCTCTCTTACGTCGTCACTCCAATTTACAGTAAGCTGACTAAATCCAGTGACTTATCTCTCTTTTTTTCTTCAATTATAAACGTCAAATAAAACTCGACTCTTCGATACTTCTGTTACACAATTTTCGTCTCGATACTCGTGTTTCAGTGAATATTGGAAGAAACGAATCCGACAGAATACTGCCGTTTAAAATGTGGATTGATATACCGACATCGATGACACCGTATTTTGAAATATTCTTCACCTTACAGGTACATTGTCGTTTAATCGGTATATTATTTTTTTAAGGAAGAAAATGCAAACACCTTCTTGCGTGATATTATTATTGTAGAAATAAATATATCAACCTGTTGAAACTAAAATATTTCAGAATATTTTCCGATAAAAATTTTTTCAAAATTTCTTGCACACGTCATCTAGCATACTAATCCCTGTAACATCTCAAAAAAATTCAAGTCCTTAGGTCGAATTTTAAAAAAGTTACACCGTTCTAAAGAGTGTCCGAATAATTAGTATATTGCCATGACTTTTGGATCGTTATCTTCTTTTTCACAATTTAAACCACTCTGTCTTGTTTATTATTTATTTTTTCACGAACCTGAACGTGTGATAAACTCGACTTTAGGGAGACGTCATTTAAACACGAAGATTTAACACTATTTTCTGCTAAAAATTTTAAAAAATTCTCTTTCTACGTTTTACCAACATTCAAGCAACGTTCGATCAATTATTTGCAATTTGTATGAAATTAACTCATGTGAAAAATTTTCTCATCGCTTAATACAACATTTGCACAGGTTTTATCCGCGTATCAAATTGGCGTGAGTTACGGTTGCTTCGACAACGTTCTATGCATCATGAACCTACACTTGGCCACTCAGTTTCGAATACTGCAACATAGACTGGTGAATATAAACGGTCTGAAGAGCAAACAGACACCGGAGAAAGGTGAAACGTCGATTATAGATTCGACAGAATTTGCGGATAACTCTTACGACGTTTTCAAAAGATGCGTTCGTCAACATCAATCTCTGATGGCTTTCTGCGAGAAACTCGAAGAAATGTTCAGTATGATTATACTGGGGCAATTGTTAGTGTTCAGTATTTTTATGTGTCTCGACGTGTGCCAAGTACTTCTGGTTAGTTCAATTAGCAAAATAATCTTCTGTTGACACGTTGCTGTAAAAGAAAGGGTTGAGAAAGTGAAAACTTTGATTACCTTTTCTTATACACTTTGTACCGTTGTTCCCGTTGAGTACCAATGAAAGTTGTGTTTCTTAGCCAGGTGCATCTGTGGGTAAACAGATGATTTTCACGTTTCACCTAGCGGGATGTATGTGTCAATTGCTGATGTTTACGTACAGCTGCGATTGTATAATAACGGAAAGTTTGAACGTGACGGAAGCGGTGTACGATGGACCATGGCCACGTTTGCCAATGAGCACGAGAGGAAGAATGATAAGGAAGGATTTGATACTCGTTATCATAAGATCGAGAGTACCTTGTTGCTTGACCGCCAGAGGATTCTTCGTAATATCTTTGGAAACGTATACGAAGGTAATTGACTCTCTGTCTGCGTTGCTTTGTCGTTGTAAACGCGGAAAGATATGAGCTGAGAGTGATCAGGTGTGGGA